TGGATATAGGTTGGTATGTGTTAGACGGAATTTTTAGGGATTGGATGAAAGTTTGAATTTCATTTTTGAAGTTTGAGCATTCAAAAAATATGTGTTGTAGATCTTGTTTTTCAGCGCAGTAGCAGGTGTTTTCGCGCTCCATTCCCAGTTTATGGAGATATGCTTTAGTTGAGCAGTGGCCGGATCTAAGTCTGGATAAAATGTTGATGTCTTTACAAGTGAGATCCGTGTATTCCGAGTACCAAGGTGATCTTCGGGGTTGTTTGATGAATTGTGAGTATATGTTTCCTTAATATTTTCCTTGTTCCTTGTATTCTCTTTTCCATTTGATGTGTAGTGAGTTTTTTTGTAGGTTGATTATGTCCGAGAAGTGTATGGGGGGTAAGTTGCTTCTGGGCACTTTTCTTCCGATATTGGCCAAGTGGTCCGCTCTTTCGTTCCCTTCTATACCACAGTGGCTTGGAATCGAAGAAAGTATTATGTTTATCTTCTTTTTGTGCAGATTAAAGATTTTATTTTTAATTTGTAGTATTAGAGGATTGGTGGAAGGAGTTATGGAGTATTTATTAAGGGCTTGAATTGCTGATAATGAGTCTGTCAGGATGGTGGATTTTTTCCAATTTAATTCCTCTATTTTCGTGATGGCTACTAGAATGGCGTATAATTCTGCAGAGAAAATTGAGAAGGGTGATGGAAGTTTGTCACAGATAGAGAAACTGGAGGGGGAAAAGATACCGTAGCCGACTTGATTAGCCGTTTTGGATGCGTCCGTGAAGACGGGGGTGTAGTCGTGGAATAAGGATTCGATTTTCGTTCGAAATGAAATATTACTGTCCAGTCCCTTTTTTACGTTCAGGTTAACAATTTTAATTTTGTGTAATTGCGATTCTAATGAATATGAATAACATAGCGGTTTGTCACAAACGTACATGTTTGGTAAAAAATGGGATATATCTTGGAATACTTCAACTAATGGGGGAGTGTTGTTTCGTTTCCAGTAGATAGGGTCGCTCGCCTAACAGGTAAAAAGTTTGAGAATGCTGTTGGCGGTGGCTTCCTTGAAAGCCATGGATTTAGCTACGTAGGATGTTGTTACGTTGTCTCCGCACGAACAGGGGGGTCTGGCCCGAGTCGGAAAACATTACATTTGTTGGGGTAGATCTGTGGCGCCTGCACCGTCGCAACTCTCCAGACGGAGAAGGAAACAACAGCTCGTTCCCCGAGCAGAGTTCTGAGCTGTCAAACTCTGCTCGGCCGTCAACGCCAGCTGTCAACGTCAACTGCCAACGTCGCTGTCAACAGGCCGGACGTCCGTTTCCGTCCGGTCCAACCACATTCAATTCGATTTCTAACGACCGACTCGACCGGTCTCGTCCTCGCCTTCATTTTGTACGCGCACAAGGTTTCTATAATAAAATGTGTTCTGTCGAACGTTGAAATAAACGATTACTTTGGGATTAGTGTTGTTTATAATCTACGAACCCCATCAGAACCGAACAGATCTAAGGTATCCGAAAATTACACGAATGGCTTGAAATTGAAGTCTGTCCAACTTTTTTAAATGTGATTTAGAGCATCCACCGTATAGGAAGCACGCGTTGTCGAAGTGGGGAAGTACAGTCGCTTTATATATGTTCAGAAGGGATTGAGGGTGGCTACCCCACCATTTCCCACAAAGAGCTCTGAGGATGTTAATGGACTTGGCTATTTTGGTCGCGATGTGATCGATGTGCGGTTTCCATGTTAATTTTTCGTCGAAGATCGTCCCCAAATATCTGACCTGAGGGACCCATGGAATGGGGTTGTTATAGATTTTGATGTGAGTTCCTGGGTTTGATTTATTACCTCTTTTAAATAATATGGCGGCGCATTTTTCTGGTAAAAGTTTTAGGCCCATGCTGTCTAGACGGGTGGAGCGTTTGGTTGAGGGAGTCTATTGCCAAGTCGATCGAAGTCATCAGCATAACCGCTGATGGTGATATTTTGTGGAAGTTGGTCTGCTATGGAGTTGCAGGCCAGGTTGAATAAGAGAGGGCTTAGAGGAGAGCCTTGAGGGACTCCTCTGCATGATACTCCTGGACCCAGTATGTCGTTGTTATGAGGGCATTTAACGAAGATATTTCTATTATGGAGAAATGAGGAGACAATGTTGCATATATCTTCGGGGATATTGTTAGTTTGTAGGGATGATAAGATGACTGAGGGGAGGACATTGTCGTAAGCTCCCTTGATATCGAGGAATACTACTATGGGGTGTAGATCATTGGCTAGGGCCGTTGTAACTTCGGAGTATAAGAAAGTCAGGTTGTCGGCAATGCTATGTCCCTTTCTGAAGCCGTTTTGGAAAGATTGGATTTTGGAGGAGCTTTCGACGAGCCAGTCCAGGCGATTTTTTACCATGGTTTCGAATAATTTGCAGATACAGCTGGAGAGAGCAATAGGGCGCCAGCTGGATGCTAATGAAGGGTCGGTTGATTTTTTTGGATTGGATATACCGTGTTGGAAAATTATTCGCGCATAATAGGGAAATCAATGTTAAATTCTTAGCCGGCTGAAATCCAGTCTACCAGTGTACATTTAAATAGAACGTCGCGGTAAATTCTAATAAATTTAATTGTTCTACTGGACTTCACACCGCGCTTTGGCTTGGTTAGATTAAAAATCAAATAATTTCGACGGTTTCGACACTTCGACAGTATCAAAACGGGTTCGGATGGGTGAACGTCGAGTCGATTAAAAAGAAATGAGAATTTTTAAACGATAATTTATTGAAAAAAATATCACTAATAATAAAATAGAATTATGTAGATATGTCTTTTTGCCACAATGGCTTGAAAAAGAAAGTAAATTCTAAGAAAATAATAAAAAGAAAACTCCAAAAATAAACTTAAAGATTATTTTAAAACAGAAAATAAAAGAACTCTAAAAAATAGTCCACCCCTTTCTGCTAAACTATAGGCAAACCTGTCATACAGATGTCATCTCATATTACTGAGCTGAGGTGTAATTTTAGCAGAAAATTGAATTATTTTTTCCTTAATTTTCCTTATTTTAAGAAGATTTGTTGCTATTTCATAACTGTACCTACCGATACACACATTTTTTTGAAATATCCCCAAAAAACCTATTAATTGTAGTTTCTAAATAATTTTGTACCTCATACCTAAGACAAATAACTTTGTACCTCTACAAATCGCGGCGTGCGATCCAGTAGAACAATTAAATTTACTAGAATTCATCGCGACGTTCTATTGAAATGTATACTGGTAGACTGGATTTTAGCCGGCTAAGAATTTAACATTGATTTCCCTATTATGCGAAATTTAATTTCTAACAGTGTATAAGATATTTTTTCCATTCTGTAGGGAAGCTGGTTTCATTTTTAAGAAATGAATTGTAGATTTCTAGTAGATATTGTAGACCATCTTTAGGGAGGTGAGATAGCATGTTATAAGAAATAGCGTCCATCCCTGGACAGGAATTTTTCCTACCGGTGAGTGCCATCGACAGTTCATCGAAAGAGAAAGGGATAGATCTAACATTACGAGTGCTTTCAGATGAGGTTTGATTTTGTAGGGGAATTTGTACTAGTTTATCGAGTATTTTATGAAATATGTCATTGTCTATTGGGGGGTTAACTGTTTTTCCGCACATGTCAATACCATTCGAAAAGCGTTTGATGGAGGACCAAAGCGATTTGGTTGGTGTACCTGGGGTAAGTGAGGCCGTGAATTTAAGGAAACCTTCCTTTTTTTAGTTTTTAATAGTCGTCTACATTGCGCCCTAACTTTTCTGAAGTGAATGAGGTTGGAGGTGGAAGGGGTGTGAATGTATTGTTTGAATGCTACTTTTTTATTTTTAATCATTTCGGCGCATTCTGCGTCCCACCACGGGAAAAAGGTCATTGGCGAGGAGTGGGGATTTTTAAATGGTATAGAGATGTCTGCAGCTTTATTTATATTAGAGATGAATTTTTGGTAGTTGACGGGGTGGGGAAGACTGAATTGGTTGAAAATAGCCCTGAAGAGATTCCAGTCCGCATCTTTTTCTTTGTATCTCTTGATTCGTGGTTCCGTATCGTTGTGCTGGTTGAGTGTTTGTTTAAGCCGATAAGAGCACATAGTTGGAAAGTGGTCACTCGATCCCGATTCTTCGATCACCTTCCAAAAACATTTCATCGCGATGGTTGGAGTACAAATGGATAAATCAGGGCAGCTTTTACTTTGGTTGGGAATTGGGATTCTTGTGGGGAGGACCCCGTCGTTTAGTATGACTAAGTTGTTGTTGGATACATAGTCCCATATTAAGTGTCCATTGGTGTTGTGGTTGTCTGAGCCCCATATTGGGTTTTTTCCGTTTAGGTCTCCCATTAGTAAGAACGGTTTATTTTGGAAGGTATCGATAATTTTACTAAATATTTTTGGTGTAAAAGGGGTATTGGGAGGAATATATGAGTTTATGATGAAAAGTTCTTCTAATTCGATAACGAGGATTTGAACTTTGGCGGGAAGATTTTTTGTTTTTTTGCAGGGGATGGAGTTTTTGACCAGGGTGGCGATGCCACCATATCCGTCATCTCTATCTTCACAATAACAGCTGAAATGTTTGATGTGAGCCGACTCGTTTGGATTAAGAAAAGTTTCGTTTAGGAGTATTATGTCTATTTTTTCGTCTCTTATTAAGGGGACCAGAGCTTCCTTGTTCGCGCGGAAGCTGCGGATATTCCATTGACAAATGTTGTATTCGCTTGGTGAATATTTTTTTGTTCTGTTGAATTGTCTGGGTTATAGTATACGAGGGAAGCGTTGTATACGAGGGAAGGTCAATTGTTGTTATTCGCCTCTCCCCCTCTATCTAAGATAGAGGAAGTTTTATTGTAAAAGCTTTCGAATGAGTTGTTGTCAGTGTTTAAGGAGGCTAAATTTTCAGAAGGTGAAGGGGGGAGGGATGTAAAATTCTCCTCCATAGATTCGGTGTCGTGAGTATTTGAAGTGATTTGACTAAGAGATGTAGAGGGGGGGTGTTTTGGTGTATGATGATTGAGTGAGGACGGAACCTGATGTTTTGTATCCGGCAGTAGAAGCAAGAAGCATTTCGTTGTGTTCGGCTGAGAAGGCGTTGGGTTTTTGAAGAATGATGGGTCTTTTCCTTTTAGCGGGTAGGGAGGCTGTTTGGCTATATGATAAGTTTTTTGGGGTGGATATGTTTGAATTAAGATTGAATCTGTTTGTGTTTCTTTGACCGGGAGGATTAATTGCTGGGAAAGCTTGTGCGGATCTTTGAAAGTTGGCTTGATTGTTAGAAGGCTTTAGAGGAGGGAAAATAGATGATGCCTCGTAATAGGAATAATCGTGGAATGCCATGGATTCATTGATTTTCTTCTGCCTTTCGAATTCTTTACATGTTCTGTCTGTGGCTAAGTGGGATTCGCCACAGTATATGCATTCTAGTTTGTTCGGGCATGGGTCGTCTGTATGGCTTAGTCCGCACTTGGCACATCTTTTGGAACTTCTGCAGGTGGTCTGCGAGTAACCGAAGCGGAGGCAGTTTTTACATTGTCTGACCGGGGCTATGTAAGGTTCTATCGAGGTTGCTACTCCGTAAATAGTTAGATCTTTCGGGCAGGGACGGCCTTGAAAGGTAAGTAGACAAGTTCTTGATGGAACGTATGCGATGGAACCGTCTTCTTTTATGATTCTTCGGTTGAGTCTTCGTGTTTCAATTATCTCGATACCTTGGTTGTAGCTTTCTGATAAGATGTCTTCGTTTTCGATGGAAAATCCTACGTTTTTGATGATTCCTCTTGACGTTAGCAATCTCTGTGGGATAAATGAGACATACCCTTCTTTTCTGAATTCTGAGTTTGTTAGAAACTTATTTGCATCGTTGGATGTTTTGAATGTTATACCAATGCGATTCTGACCCTTTTTTTGTACATTTTTGAAATTGGGGATTGAGCATTTTCTGAGAATTTTGCCTACGTCCATTGGGTGCAGGCTGGGTTTAGGATCTACTTGTTTGTTGGCCTCTACAATTACGATGAAAGGGCCGAAATCATTGTCAGAATAGGTTACTTTTCTAGATTTAATTAAATTAATTTTGACCCGAGTTTATTGATTTCATCTAATATTTGGTTGTCTTGTGGGAATTGATCTCTTAATTTGATTAATTCATTTTCAAGTATGAGTAGGTCTTGTTTGTGTATGGGTGATAATTGGTGGAGAGAGGAGATAATTATTTTGGAGGGTGGGGAGATATGGTTTGTTAGCAGGGAAAAAGCCGAAGCCGCAATGTCCGGGGGGTCGACCCCCATGCTTAATACGTAGTCCCGATGCGTAAGTAAAAGAAAGCACTCACCGAGCACGTGTCACGTAGGTTAGTCCCATAGAGAAAGAAAGATGAGAGAGTTCGATCTCTTACTAAAAATTGGAAACGCGTCGATGGTGCTGCTGCTAGTATGGTGTCCCACGAACTAGAGAAATATCGAGTAGATTTCTTCTATATTTCAAAATTAAAAATGGGCGGTATATTCAAATTTTATTTTTATAATTTAATATTACCCATTGCAATTATAAAATAAGAACAACTTTTGATAATTAGAAATGTATTTATTGACAGATATAAAAAATTAAATACATACATATAACCTAAATAAATGAATTACAATGCAATATTTGAACATCATTTGACAATAATAACAAAAATAAAAATGAAATACATAATATATAAATAATATAATAGAATAAATAAAAACGTAAAATAAATACAACTTTGTAAGACTTTGTTACTAGCCCTTTAGCGTTACCCAGGATGCACCACGAGGAGGTGAACTAGATTTGCATCCCTTAATTTAAAAACATCCAGGAAGAGAAGATATTATTACTATTATGGTAGATTTTAAATGAATAACAATATATATTAAAAAAAATTAGACATTAAAAAAAGATTACCATCGAATTACGTTACATTCCACATTAAAAATAATTATATCTTTTCTTCCATACAAAATTCAGCCTGCAAAAATTTATTGAAACATTACAAAAAACTACAATGCGCGTATATAAGTTATGTTAGCTTCTTAATACAACCAATTCAACTATAAATTTAAAGTTTATCTACTATATGTACATTAATTACTACATTATACTAATATCACAAAAAAAACTAAAGTACGAAGAAGACTAGAAGATAGAATATGCATTGATTCAGTACGTATTTACTTAATTGATTACTAATACTATTAAAGCTTTTATGGCACCAAAGTAAAAGTGAATTAACAATTCTAAAAACCAAATATTACAGTTATATCACAGAATATGTTTCAATTAACAGTCTATATTACTACATTCTACTTTATATCTACTTACTCTGTTGATAACTACGAGGAAATAAATAAATTTTACATTCAAAATAACTACTACTACATAAAAATCAAAAATCACAGTAATATCACAGAAGTTCCTGCTAGATAATATTTGTTATACATAAAATTTAAATAGAAAAATAATATATAACTGATACTTGTTTTAGTAAAATTGGTTATAAAAGAAGCTAATATAAATTATGAAGTACGAAGACTACGGAGTACGAAGTACAAAGACTAGGGAGTAGGAAGTATGAAGTGTCAGATCCCTCAGCTCGCAGGGTCTACAGCTTCTAATTCTTGTAGAGCTAACTAAAACAGAAAAAATATGAGCAGCATCGAATTCAGGAAAATAACAAAAATAGTGAGAATTACTTAGTTGCAGCTATTTCCCGATAAAATTTTTTAATTATCATTGGAACAATGACTCCAACAAGTTGACAAAAGACATCTGATTTATGATCTTTGCAAGAAAACCATTCAAAATCAACAAGTTCATGAATATACATTACAAATTTATTTACGATATCATTTATATGCCCTACAAGAAGTAATACCTTATATATAATATCGTAAATTTTTGCTACAAATATTACTAAATTTCTATTTGCATAAGTCAGACGCCTTTTCTCATCGTTCTCTTTAAAATGTGTAAAAATATGTTGCAAATTTAAAACATCACTTTTTAAATTATTTAGACACAGACACAACAAACCTGACACAAACAAAGAAACCTGAAACATATGAAGTTACCTGAGTGTCAAAAATAGAATCCCTCAGTTCTATATTTTCAAAATTTAAATTTAAATCATCAATTTCATTAATAGAGGCAGACGATTTCTCAGGCTCGATTTCTGAATTTAAAAATGAATGTAAATTGTCTAAAATACTACTGTCATCTGCCTCGCAATTAGTACTAACATTTTTTCCTGATATCAAACTATTGCACATTGCAGTTTTTAATGCTGAAACGAACTGGTAACAATTTGGGGCCATATTAGCAGCTCCATACTGTACATATTTTCAATGGGATCCTGATTCAAGGATCTAGTCCTCAAAAACTTGAATCCTAGTCTCCAACATTCTTCAGTCAACAATTTAACACCTCTAATAGTATGTAACCAACAAGATTCAAAAGGCAACGATTTTTTCATCGGCTTTCCGTTTTTCGGTAAAAACTCCCATGATTCAATAATTGGTAACATTCTGTCCCAAAATTGACCATGAGAAGATTTCCTAGTATTCCTAGTATTTCCACCTTCACTTGTCAGACTTCTACCATTGAAACTGTCAAACAATTGATCAATATCTGAAACAAATTCAGCAGTATGAATAGCTTGTTCGGGAAGTAAATTGCAAGTTACTAAACTTTCAATTGTGGCAGCCATAGTGTGACTCATTACCTTAGCAGCAACAGAAACCTTAATTTTTAATTAAGGATTCTTATTCAAATAAAAAAATGTATCTTTAATTTTATACAAAGCTTGAAATCTTTTTGTTTTATCAATATTAAAAGCTGCTTTCACATGACTCAATTTAGCACATTGACTTTCATTAAAATAAATATCATAATTAAAAAGGGCATTCCTCGTACATTTTAAAAGATGCGGAGGATCGTACAAAGTAATTATTCTTGAGCCATTAACAAAAAAATAGGGACCAGTTCTTTCATTATTTGAATCTAAACGTAATTGATTTAATGCTGCCCTGTTAGTATTACCTAAATCACAAACTGTTGCCATGACCTTTAAACCTATTTCTTGCAATTTTGAAATGACTTCTTTAATAATTAATTTTAATGCAACAGTTTTAACCTGGTCCCTTGTGAAATAATAAGCCACAGGCTGCTTCCAAGATTTTTTAATGCCATTAACGACAAATACCAAAGCATGATTTGCAACTTGCAAATTCCTTCCCAAATCGTTACCTAGATCTACAAAACCAACAACTTTGTCCCTGTACGCATCCAAAGTGAGTTTCTCCATGAGAGCAATTTTATCGAACAACAAAACGCAATTCCGGTCAATTTGCTTCATTTTAGCAACCCTGTCCTTAAGTCTAATAAAAATTCAATTGTTAATGCCAGTTTCAAATGGAATTGATCTCAACATGGACTGAACAGTAGATTTGCTGGGCAAAGCAACAAAATTTTTTAAAAAATTATATGCCCTGGGACCTTTTTTGTATAATGCTAATGAAATTACTTTATCGGCAGTTGTCCATGAAGGCTTAAGTTTTTTTGTATTATAAGTTAAATGTTTCAAAAAATTAAGGCCTGCTGAATCAAAATTTGCATGACAATTTTCTCATTTCTTTGGATGAATGGGACAAACCTATAATATCAAACCATTTTTTCTTTCGCTCAATATTTGTAGGGAATTTAAAGAAATGTTTTTAAAGAGTATTATCTTCGAGGGGACAAATATACAAATTTTTGCATCTTGGTGCATCACATTTACGAACCTTCCTTCGAATTGGTGTCGACATTTTAAATTTGCAAAATATAAATTTATAAAAAATAAAAATACCCACAATTTAGGTTAAGCACTATAATGGCATCTCCATCACTCACGAAACTCACTTTAAAAAGACCGGCCGTCGTTCGGGTCTCGTCTTATGCGGGACTCGTCTCATGTAAAATTAGCCAATCAAATCAATCGAAATTCATTTAATTTTTCGATAGTAGCGCCTCTGGTCGCGTGTCTCAGAACTAATCGCGCTATTGGCTGGGTCCTATTGGCATCTGAATTTAAGATTGCAGCGCCATCGTGGCAAAAAACGGAACCTTCGTAACAGGCATTCATTCGTTTGTTGTTATTTGTTTTAACGTGCGAATTGTGAATTTGAAAGTGATTTTTTAGTGTTATAACTTAATTTCTTCCGAACAATTTTTATATTAAAAGACAATTTATTTCAGTTTAAGTAGTTTTTAAGTTGTTAAATTTACTGTCAATTCAAAATCTGGTAAGCAATCTGATTTGTATGTAAGATTGTATTATGTTTGGTTATATATTTTTTGTCGTTTCTTTCAATTAAATTATGAAATATGGTGTATTCAAATTACTCAATGACTTAAAAATTATACTTTTATTTATTCTATTTATTAATAATCTATTTTTTTTAATTTATAATCTTTCATTTTTAGAAAAATGGCTCGATTAAGTATAATCGACTACATGGCGTACATTGAAGGGACAGTTTCTTCAAGATGTGTGGTAGAGGGCGAAGAAGTTTTAAATGCAGGACACATAATTTTATGTGGAAAATTTAATTTGGTGACTTCTGATCTTATTAAAATCTGTGCTTTGTGTCTACAAACTAGCGCACTTAATGGAGAACCTTATCAAATATCCGGAGAAAAAATGCTTCACATCGTTTGTTCCATTTAGTATTACTTAATGGTAAAGTATTAATTCTATATAATATTACAACTAATTTTGATAAAATATTTTATTC